AATCACTTCCAGTCCAATTGCACATGATGTTTTTTCGGACGTTCGGAATAAAACTCCGGGCTTCCATTCTCCGTCCAAATGGAGCTGCCAGTGCTTCCACCTCTTAAATGATAGCAATGCGACAGATGGTACCTTCTTCTCTCAAAAAACTCTGCCAGGGCACTGATATGCGCAATACCGCTGCACCCGAACCAGCTGACTCTGCAAAACCCAGAGTTTGGATTAAGACTGCAATCCTTTGCAGCACTCTGAATCCCCCAGGTTGCTTAGCAGCAGGCAGAAAAAGAAAAACATTTGGCTCGTTTTGACACACAGACAAAGGAGGGAACTAGAAGAGCTGGTTTAGCAGGAGCCGAGGGCATGGGGGGGGGGCAGAGGGCACCGAGCACCGAGCAGGAAGGTGACTGTGTTTAAGTCCGGCTTTACCTCTCCAAACACTGGCTAGCACAAGGCCTCAGCAGCTGGGGAGTGTGGGTATTGTAGTTTGAAGTTACTGAGGTCAGTCAGCATGAAAGACAATGAGAGATTATCATATTTAGGCCTGTTTTCTTTTTTAGTGCAACATCTCTCTGCTGCACACAGCTTAATTCTCCTGTTCGATCTTGGTGGAAGCAGGTCAAAGATTCCCAGGGTGTGTCTGACTATATGGCCCAGTGTGGTTTCTTTTGTTTGAAAATATTATCGACTGGGGGGGTGAATGAAAACCATCCAAAACTAACACAAGCGATCCAGATTTAACAGGATTTTGCAATCCTCCCTGGGCAGGGTTTTGCAATGACTCATTTGTGTAAGATGTTTTGACACATTTTTTCATCTCTGAAAAACAAGAAGTGGATTGCAGTGCTTGTGCCCGTTTGGAAACGTATCATTTTGATTTTGAAGTGATTCTTACATAAACATACCCCTAAATGGGTTTTTTTAAAGACTCAATTTGTGCTTCAGTTCACTTTAATATTTCCTTAAGGCAGGCCAAATGATGGAAATGAACTTCATTATGATTTTATGTAAATTAAGAGATGCAAGACATCAGCATAACTATCTTTTAATGTTATTAAACCAATCCATATTCACTCCATCCAACTCCTATTGCAACATATGTCAGAACATCATCAAATTGTCGTCTAAGAATTGCATTGGAGTTTCAGCTTGGCACTGATGAAACAGCTGTGTAATATTTTCTTCCCTCCCCTCCCACTCACATAGCAACAGAGGTCACCCTGTAGAGATGGTCTGATTAGGTAGAACGCTCTGGAAGGTGTGGCTGATTACCACTAAAAAGATAAGGAGAACAAGCAGAGAGATTGTTGTAGTCTGATGATGTGATGTGCTGTGGAATGAAAACATAGTCAGGCTAGTGTTACAGTAACTGACCTTAACATGGACTGAATTTCTACTTAGGCATTTTATATTATTTTTTGACAACACACTAAAATGTCAGCTTACTCTGTGCTCTGTCCTCGGAGTCTGTGGCAGCATTTACTATGTACACTGAGCCTGAATGTTGTGTACAAGCAATATGTTGCTGTCTGGGAACAAAGGCATGGTGAGTGACAGTGTGAGCTTGTGTGTCTGCTAACAGGGGGGCCAGACATCTGGGACCCGCTTTATTGCCAGCAAGATGACAGGGTAGTCCTCCTGCAGAGTATGTGTGTGTGTGTGTGTGTGTGTGTGTGTGTGTGTGTGTATGCATGTGTTTTTATGCTCCCCTGCTTTAAGGACAAAAGCTCTGCCGCAGCTGCATAAGTCACACAGCCCTTTTCCAAATGTGCCTCACACTGTGGGCTTTGTGTGTATTTAGGGTACTTCACTACTTCTCAAAGTCGGGTGCAGGGGTGAGGGTTGCCAGGCATCCCCCAGCAAGGGGAAAGTTTGATTCTGCTGTTTTATTACCACTATTAAATGCAGAAACAACTAAAAAAAAAAATCTGAAATCTTTCCCTTTAAGTATCTGGTACACACTCTTATTAAATGTGTGTCCAGGGCCCAATATTTACTGACCTGTACAGCCGGAAACCACATCAACCAACATCAGTACTTTAGTGTGTTTATCCACTGAGTTTCCAATTTATTAGTATCCTTGTGCTCCTCGAGAGAGTGTGCGTCATTCACATACTCCAAGGACAAGTTGACTCCTCTTTGAAACAGATCCCTGCCCTGCCTGTGTGTGTCTCCAGGGTATATAGGCTATACCAGCTATCTCTCCCCTTCCTCTCAGGGCGCTATTCATCCTCAGCGCTGACATCTGCTTTGCCCCTGCTGCACACGCCCTTCCCAACAACATCCATACTGGGACAATGAACAAAATAGAAGACAGTGGGGACAAAGACCTCCGGCTTGGGCTGGCCACGTTACTAATGTTGGGTGGACTGACTGAGGGAGGGGTCTTTAGGGAAGAGGTTACTATAGCGTGACAGTCAAACCGTGGAAAGCCTGCTTTTGTGCTGGTGTCAAAGTGACTTAACTTTCCTCCTGCAATCCTATTAAAGCTGTTACATATTTATGTATTAAGTAACGCAACCACTGCCATATTTGAAATTTCCTTAATTTCTCTTGATGGTTTCTTTTAGAGAAAACTGATATACCATATATATAATTTTTTTCACTTTTAGAAACACCATTTTGTTTTAAAATGTATAATGTATATGCTGTGTGTGTGAATATACAATGTTGTTTTATACCAATGATACTTAGTTGAGCACTACATACTGACTGCATTATTAGCAAATGGTAGTGTCTGTAAATGTTTTTTATGTAACAAAATACAGTTCTACTATAGAAGCTAGTTTAAAGTATTAAAGTAGTTAGTTGCCTGATACTCAGACTGAAGGTACGGTGTAGTTGTGCACAGCAGTATAGAGTTGACACGGTCACACCAGCATTTAAAATGGCAAAGTTCTGGCACTGTATCATGAGGTCTTAACGGCACCGACATTTGGGGGAACGGAGAACCAGAGAGTCCAAAATGGAGGAAGATATTGTAGCTTATTAAGTGTTTCACACTAGCAAACTAGGTTTTAAAGCTCCCCACCTCCTCCCTTCAATTACTCCTTTTATTTAATTAAATTATGTTTAAAAAAGTAAGTAAGAGGACAGTAGCATGGAGATGGTCATCCACTAGCTTTATGGGTCGTCCCTGTGTCACTTTTAGTACATGCTGCTGTGCTCTCGGGGATAGGGCCTTTATTCAGGAAGTGGGGATTTACATTTCTGGTTTGGTTAGAAAACATGGTGACCAGTTGACCAGTGACCAGTATAAATATGAATGACTGGACTGTTCAGCTGCTACGATGCTACTTTATTCCAAAATGCAATGGGGTTACAATAGAATTAACTGAATTGTATACATGTTAATACATAATGCATGGAATATATTTATTAATTTTTAATTTTTACAGCATCAGCTTCTGGGTGGCGAGACATCTGTCACTGCTGTATGTCTTTCTATGAGCTTACCAGTCTTGTACTGTCTTATATGTAAAGTCTTTTTATGGCAACTGAGAAAAAGGGGTAGGCTAAAGTAAGAGCGCGTGATTTGATCTGTATCTCTTCACGGTCTATCTTCAGCAACCCTCTACTTCCTCATGCAAAAAATAGATTATCTCATTACTCACCCTCTTATCTCTTTTTCACCAGATTTTCATCTTCTCATATCACTTATTTTTCTCCCCCCCCCCCCCCCCCGCCCTTCGCTCCTTCATACCCTCTCCACCACCTCGTCTATCTTTATCCCTCCTTCTCCAAGCTGGCGGTGTCACCTGTCAGCTCACACTCCCACAGCAGAGGAATTCATTCCAGAGTGTGGCACCAGGCCTTATTGGGGTAAGGTGAGGGGGCTCAGTGGGAATCACGTGATAGAGGGGGCCTTAGTATCCACAGCACCCTTTTGTTTTCGTGGCTAAGATGTTAGTGTCTCTGAGTGAGGAAGAAAAATGAATAAATGAGAGGAAAAAACAGAAATAGAGTTGTTTTGGGCATCCATGTGAAATATGAGTTCTTCATTTTCTGCATAAGGGGGTGTTAAGTGACTGATTGTTTGAGCACTAGGTTTGTCCATAACTTAAATCTATAGTATCGGTAAAGACAAGACATTTTGTCCGTCTGCTGTTTGGTGCTGGGCAGGTAGCTTACAGTGAAGTTTTTTTTTTTTTCTTGTTTGTTTTTTTAAAGCTGAAATGGCTTCCTGTTGTTGTTGGAAACAAACAGAGTGGTGACTCTGGTCCTGAACCGAAACAGTAAATCTGAGGGCCATGAAACCAAATGAATTAAATTAAATTATCCAACATGCTCCCATGTTTCTATATAGATGCACACTGAGAATTCCCTTTAAACTGTTAAAAAGTACATCTGGAACCAGCAGCTCTTCCCACTTTGCAGCTCTTTAAGAAACAAACTGAAACTCTGTTTATGTTTTTAGAGTCCGTCCCACATTATGGTCCTAGTCAGCAGCAGTGATACCAACAAGCCCTGCGTCCTAATGATAAGCTAACAGGCTAACCACCACTGATGTCTTTATCCGTTTGTATTCTCCCACATATGGTTATCTGAAAGTCGGCGGTCAGACATGGAGGCAACATATTCCTGTGGTCAGCCTCTCCCATTCAGTAGGCAACGCTCTTGCCCACTCAGAGGGAGAGAAAGAGGGAAAAAATCTGCCACCTAAATATAGTCTAGCCTTGGGGCTCAGCAAGAGGCCCGCTGCAGGAGGTCTGGCCACACACACGGTGGTAAAAGTATGTATACATGCACACACATACCTTCAAACACACACACGCACGAACAGATTTATTTAATTTCAAAAAGCCATAGAAAAACGACAGAGGCACTCACAATCAATCAAATTCTCTTTATATGTGTGTGGACTTTTCATTCAAACACATGTGGATTGAAGGTCACTCAGTGGTCTTTGGCTTTTGTGTGATGAGGAGAAACCCCCCCCAGTGAGAGGCATTAGAACAGAAGTCATTTAACAATCATCAAAACACGTGGTTCACATCTTCAAATTCTGCACCTGAACTGTTGTTGACTTCGAGCTGCCGTCACATTACAGACTGTGGATGCATTTTGAAGACAATAATCCTCATGTAGACGATCGGAGTTTGAACTTAATCGCTTGAAAATGATTTCTCAGCTCCGCGGCAGAAGAAGAAAGCTGTTTTCCGCCTTTTACCCTGGAGCACGTGTTCATTTAAAGCCCCCACTGCTTGTAAACACGTTGCAGCCTGCTAACCTCGAACCACATGATCAGCCTGCTGTGCCTGGCTGGTTTCACTGTACGGTTGGTGGAAATGCAGGCTTGGTTTCTGGTGGTTTAGGTTCAGTTTTCTGAGAAACTGACAGGAAAAAGACAAGAGAACACAGCTCAGCTGTTTCCTGTTTATGTTGACGGGAAGATATAATTTGCTAGCAAGAGGCAACATAGATAAGGATGATTTAGCGAAGTGAATCGGGAAAGATGAGCTCACAAATTAGAGATTAGACTCAGAAAAAAATTGGGAGATCGAGAAACAAAGAGGAGAAGTGGCTTATTAGAGGTATAAAAATATGGTGTGAATAAGAAAAAGAGTTTGTGAAAGAAAGAAGAAATGTTTAAAAAAAATAGAAAGACTTTGAGAACTGAGAGGAAATATACTGAGAGTAGAAGAGAGAAAGCAGCTGACAGGAAGATCTGCGCCTCTTCTTCTCCACTATGAACACAGCTGTGTGAAAACACACACACACACACTTTGTCAAACGGCTTCAAAACACCCACAGTCAAGACGCAACAGTCAGCAGCATCCACGTGTAAGCGCAAACACACAGGCGTAAAATGTACAGAACACACTGTGCCAGGGTCGAAAAAGGGAACACAACTTAATTACTCACAAATCCACTTGAGCAGGCACAAAAGCATGTACACACACACACACACACACACACACTCGGCCTTGTAGATTCACCACAACAAGGAGAAAGAAAAAAAGCACATTTGAGCTTATGGTGAGACCTACAGTCAAAACATACTCACACGCTGATAACAAATTATTATTTTATTTTCAAAGTTTGATTTTATTGACTAGCAATGAGCTACCTTGTTACCAGCATTGGACTTAAAATAGAAACAGTTTCCAGAAATTATGACAGTAATAACTAAGCTAATTTATTCCAGTTTAACTGGTAAACACTGAGTATGTTTGTGTCTCTGGGTGATCCGGCTGACTCCTGTGGTGGTGAGATATGGATGATAAAGCAACGGCAAAACATTTAACGTGCAAAAACAGCCGTGACCTACATAAGAGCGGCAGCTTAATGAGTAACTGTAACAGACTAATTTCCCTACGGGACTAATATGTTACTCATTACCCATAAAACACCATGAAAGGTACACAACCTGGAATTGGATAAATAAAAAAGGTTATGCATGGTAATCCTAATCCTATATGCACAGGTGGAGCCCTGCGATGGGCTCTATTGACTTGATGAGACAAAGCATTACATGTATTTTTGTTAGCCAATCGCGATGTGATTCCTTTTCCCTTTCCCCTTGTTGCCTAGGATGATTTATCAAGTATGATCGTGTCCCTGCCGTTGGCTACAGATACTGCCCCCTTTTTTAAACTTGCCTCTGCTTCACTAACCTACACACATTCAACAGTTTTTCTCTGTCAGACGGTCTCTTTAGTTGAGCTTCGAAAAGATGAAACATGACCCTTGAACGGGACCCCCAGTCAGCAGTAGATAGTAGTTTGTTTAAAATCAATTGGATGCATCTCAACAACACTTTTTGCTGGTTATCAGTGTTTTCTTTGGGTCTATCGTCTTGTCCCTACTCATGTCATCAAATAATCTTATTAGGACTTAGGACCCAGCGTCCCTGGGATGATTCGCGAGGTAAACCATTGAAATACGAGGTTCATGTTACATGTTGGTTAGCTGGCTTGGTGGAATTCTCTGGTGTGCTTGCTCTATGGCCCGCAAGATGCAGAAGCATAGAATATGACAAAGATCTGGGTCATTTTACACCTGGAAGTCTAACTTTTTTGGCTTCATGTGCCACTGAGCAGCTTTCATATAGGAATGAACAGAGCCCTGCCTCCAACGGTGTATCCAGTTCTCCTCAATACAGTCATGGCCTGAATGCAACCTTAGCAACAGAAGCACTGTCAAAACCTCATACAATTGATTAAATTAATATACTATTGTCCTCTATTGTGCTTAAATATTACTTGCTGGTAGTAGATACCCATGCAGCTTAAAATATGAATGGTTGATACCCCAGCCAGAGGACCAGAGGTCATGTATGAGAAATTACACTGAGTAATGAAAGCCAGTGAAATAGAGGCTAAACCAGAACTGAGGTGGGTCTCATCCATACAGCCTGTGTGTATTAAAACTGTCTATGTGGAGAATAAAACAGTAATCTATGGGACAGCATGGAGAAGAATAGAGAGTGGGTTAATAGAGGGAAGGTTTAAGTGTGCCATGGGATGCAGATAGAGGGGATGTTTTTCATGTTGCTGTATACAGTCCATTATCATCTCCTACTGTTTTGGACCCTCAGCAGTGATCGTAAACCGTTTTCGTTGTTGGCAGTACAGTTATTGAGCTTACCAGAGGTAGATGAAGACAGACTGAGCAGCTGGAGGACAATGGCTGCAAATCAGAGCCTAGAGGAGGGAAAATGAAAGACAGAGTGGGAAAAAAAGATGATAAAGGGAGACTGTTGAGCAGCCACAGGGATGGGATTTTTCTCTTTATTAATTTTAACAGTGGGAGACATTGGAGACGCCCGGTCTTTGCTGATGTGCACTGATGAGGTAGATCTATTATCCCTTATTGATTTCACTTATTGAATTAATATCACAGAGGGGGGGATGCAGAGAAAGAGAAGGGGAAATAGGGGAAGGACTCATAAGATTTGATATATGGAGCTGCTGCTCAATATTTGGAGGATTTCTGTCATATTTTATACATTCAGTATTACTTTCCCTGTTTCTTCCAACTTTCAACACAACCCAAAAAAGAAAGACATCGACAATACGTGAGGACACACACATACTCCACCACCCCCATCGCAGCTGTTGGGGTGTGGTGAGGGGGAGATACGTGCCACAACCCCTCCGCTTGCATTTGAATGAGTTCTAGTAGGGTTTAGAGCAGGCTTGGCTGGAATGGGTTGGAACCATTCCACACATTCCTGCGCCACCATGCACTCTCTGTTGCCCTACTTGTGTCTGGGTTGGGAAATGCACGTACAGTTCTCCCACGCACTCAAACTCCCACAAGTACACGGCGAAGGGGGGAAGCCATCTTGCTTTTCCTTGTTTCCAGATTGTAAATAAAAGGCTTGAGAAGAGCACACGGGAAAGATACAAGTAGGTGAGCGCAGCACACAGGCACAAACTTCGCTCTGAAAAAAGGCTCTGTATCTTGATTTGTACACCCACGCCCTGTACATGCAGGCACACAGACATGAAAGTAAAATAAATAAAGTTGAATATACTGATTTGCAAACATATAGACTTTGCAAGCTCCTTTAATGTAAGTAACCACAGTTCACCGTGTGCTCCACAGGTTTATATCACAGTGAACACATGATTGAGAGTGTGTGGGCAGGGGGATTCAACTCTTAATAACTCTCATAAGGGAAACATCTGCTACCCTTCATATCTCCGTCCACTTCTTTTTTATTTTTATCTCCCTCCATGTCTCTCATGCACTCTCCTCCTCACTCTATCAGCTCTGTGAAGTTGTTTCTCTCCTGCGTTTCTCTCATCTGTTTCCTTTCTTCTCTGTCCTCTCTCTCAGCGTGCCCCCAGCTTTTGGCTCCTCGATGACTCTCCACCACAGCTGGGGTTGTTTTTGAACCACCGAGTGCATCAGCAACCGAAAACAACTGTGCCGCATTTCTGTGAAAAGCCACTCCACTCCTTGTAAAGAGAGTGCTGACCTCTTCAAAAGGCACCATTTTTTTTGTCCCTGTCTTCTTGTCTCGCTCTGTCCTTCCTTGCATAGTTCTATTTTTACATGACTATTGGTTCTGAAATGTAGAGTAGACTCAAACAGCTGTGATTCACATCCTACATCTTGCCATAAGTTCACTTTGCCAAAACACAGAAATCCAGGGTGCGCCAAATAACACAGAAAAGGAGATAACAGATTTTGGTTTTCTTGGAAATGTCAAATACAGGCCACCGTGACCTTCTCAGAGGGCTGACAGAGGCAGGAAGCTGCTCGATACATGACAAAATTAAGTTATAATCGTAGTTAAATTGGATTTAAAGAAATGAATGTATTAAGATCAAATCCTCTGTTCCTTTTCTATCTACTCCTTATTTCTACCATGAAATACATTCTTAGAAAAAGGACAATCCTTAAATTAGCTAGTACAAATGTGCACCTAGGCATAGTCCACAGTTTAAGGGAGAATCTAAAAGCTACTCTTAGAGTTTGCGCTTTATTCCTGCTTGTCTCCATTCAGTTCTCTTCCTCCTGATTCCTCTATAAGGATAAAAAATGGAAATGATACACTATGTAGATCCACCATGTAAACTGCAGTGGCAATTCTGGAACATGAAAGCATTCTTTGACTGTGGCTGCATACGCTTGGCCTACTTTTTGATTCCATTAAATTATTGGGTGGGTGGGAGGAAAGGCTGCGCTGTCTTTTAAGTATTAGCAAGCTGGATGTCAGATGTATATGTGTGTGTGTGTGTGTGTGTGTGTGTGTGTGTGTGTGTGTGTGTGTGTGTGTGTGTGTGTGTGTGCAATAGCATAACATGTATTTATTATTGTAATTACATATTATTTGACTTGCTTAATTTCCGAACATCCAAATATGTCAAAGTGCATTTACATATTCCCACTTCATCTTTACATTATATGTATGCGTTATGCAGTATCCAAGTGATCTATATGTGTTTTGCCATGACCATAAAATCTGCGCATTGAGTCTGTTTCACGCTGTGTGTCAGTCAATATAATGTTCTAGTAACTGCTAGACTTTATTATTAATAGCTATTGGTGAAAGGCTGATTACTGAGTGAGTGAATGATGGGGTGTTACTGTACTCTCATGTTTCCGTTTGAACCGACTGAGACAGGAGTGAAAAAATCCGAAATCAAAATGAGGATTGACCTTACTGACAAAGATAAGAACCTTAACTCGTAACGTAAACAAACTCAAATAAAGTGTGAAAAGAATGGAAATATTATAATATTTAAAGCAGTGAAACCTGGGGCAATATTTCATGCAAAAATGAGGGACGGTGACTTTGGACTTTGTGTTTTGTTGTCGGATTTTGCTCTTCGTAGCAATAGCCATTCAGCGTATTTGCATTCTGTGAGCACTCCTTTATTTGCATATTTCCACTGGTTCTGTCAACATTCTTGGCAAATATGCAAATATTATGAATACACAGGATATGATGCATGTCGAAATCTGAGGAGAAGAAACAGAGGCTTGTTAGCCATTGGCTATTGGGTAATCGATGGATTATTTTTTATTTATTTATAATAAAAAACACTGAAAGCATTCCTGGTTTGAACACGCTCAATATTTGGAGGTGTAGCCAAACAGCTAAAATCTCAGACTTATCTCAGGCTGTCACTGAATAGTGCACATTGTATTTAAAGCTACTCCATTTACTTTTTTTGCAAACAACAGAAAGTTCAGTATTTCTTACTAGACCACATCCTATATCCTTGAGGTCTAACAAAAGTGTCAAACACATTTCCGCCCTCGTGAAACATGGCAATTTTCGCAATACTTTAAATAATTCTCCCCGGCATATTACTGCCACCTGTTGATCAGTGGAATAGTGTGACACCATTTAAATTCAGGGATCTGTTATGGAGTATTTGAACGAGTAAAATCCCAGTTGGTTAAATGTAATCATTTGTTAGTTTTGTCTAGAAATTAAGAGAAAGATAAATAACAGTAAAACGAGCAGTTGTTGTATTTAGTCATTTTCCACCATTTAATGATGAATATGACTAAGGAACTGGCTGGTGAAGGCAAACTAGATCAGATACGATCACTTGTGCCTGCATTTGTTCCTGTCTGTCAGGAGTGAAATCCAACGTGACTAAGAGCATGATTGTCTGCAAAATTTCACAATGAGCTAGTGTGAGTAAGAGAGAGTTTTATGTGCACGTACTAAGTATCACGTCTTGATGTGTTTGTGTGTGTGCACATCTCTTTCTCCTGGGAAACAGAGTCTGCAGTTATCCAAGCGCCTTTAATCTGCCAGCATGGAACAAACCTGCTTAAGTAATTTCAGCCGAGGTATCCACAGTGAGGGTGTTTTTATAGCTTTTTTTTCTCTACAGAATTCAATATGGGAGCCAAACATAGGAAGACCTGCATGGTTTCTGCCAACAACAAAACCTGTTCAAAGAGAAAAACTAAAGCTTCCTCTCCCGCATCCCCGCACCTCACCAAGGACAACTTTGATGTCATCCAAAACAATGTTTATCTTCCCTCTGTGTACCACAGCTTTGTTTATGAGTTATCCCTATATGCTGCACTGATAGGTTTCTGTTTATTGTTCTTGGGTGTGTGTCACAGGGGAGGGAGGAGACAGCTGTCAGCAGTAAATAATAGTCTATACATTTGTGTTTTTTCTCTTAATTGGAGCAATGTTTGGGAATTGTGGCCGGTTCACATTTTAAAATAATGGAAAATAAATGTTTTAATAGCAAGTTGTTTGAAATTTCTGTAAAATGAACTCATATACTTTCTTGCTGAAAGTAAGATGAGAAGCTTGCTACCACTATCGTCTCTGTGAAAAGTGGGCCTAGAAAGTGATTAGCTTAGCTTAGCTAGCATACAAACTGGGGGCCAGGGGAAACAGATAACCCAGCCACAGTTTGATAAAATAGCACATAACCGTCTTTAAAACCACAACTGGTTGTTTTTACATTTGTTTGTATACGGATTAAATAAATGAGACATGGAAAGTTCATTTGTTACTTTATACTAGGCTAAGCTAAGCTAAGCTTCATATTTAATAGACAGACACGTGAGTGATATCAATCTTCTCATCTTACTCTCCTCAACAAAGTGAATAAACATATTTCCCTAAATGTCAAACTTTAACTCTTTAAGTCTGAGTTGCAGTTCTTTATTCATATATTTTTTTGGCTTTTATTATTTTATTTCTTTTATCTTTTTCTTTGTCCAATGATTATTTCCCTTAATTGTTACAAGACACAATTTAATATAACAAAATAAAAAGTAAAAAAAAAGGGACATCTTCAAATTGCTAAAACTTTATTGATCCCACACTGGGGAAATTCCTTTGATTCCACTTTTATTAAATTGACTGAAGCTTATCAAATCCTCATATTTAAGAAGTGAAATGTTTCATATTGTTAATGTCTTTAATATTTTGTTTTCTATTCATCAGCTTTCATTTATCCAACTATTTCCAGCACAAATTCAAGACACACATGTCCCAAACAGCATTTCAGCCATCTGATGCATATCAATGTGTTTCTGGTTTATGCTCCAGTACCAGCAGATGCTCACAGTCTGCATGAGTGTATACATTGTGGACAAGCTGGCAACTGTGCACATATGTGCGTTGTGCATGTGGACAATGCCACCAGTTGCTGTGGGTGGAAGCTCCCTGGTCGTCTGCCAGGGTGTGGGGAGGGACTGACCACGATATAATGGAGGGTGTGAGCTGACGGCGGGGGAGGGAGGCACAGGAGGAGGAGACGGAGGGGAAGGAGGAGGTGGTGAGACAAGGGGGGTGGTAAGCAGAGATAAAGCCAGACAGATGGGGCAGACAATGAGGCATAGACACCCACCCTGCATGTCAACAACACCCCCCAGCTTCCTTCAAACTTTAGCTATTCCATTATCTCTCCCCGTGTGCCAGACTTTCTTTACATTCTTGCTTCCCCGCCACATTTTTTTTGTCTTGTTTTTCTCCATTTCCTAGCTTAAGGTTGATTAAAGTAGCACAAAATATTGCATTGAGTTCTCTTTTGCCGCAACAACTTTTTGTTCACATTCTCCGTTCAAATAAACTTTCTTCCTCCTTCTGTTTGTTCACTGACCCTCCTCCTTTTCCTCTCTCCTTCCTCATTGTTCCCTGATCTGATAAGAAGAAACCTCGATACAGCTGCGGAGTAGGGGGGGCCATAAAAGGAGACTAAGCGAGATTATATAGATAGTATGGACAGGCATAGCTGTCACCTGTTGTGCTGAGTCCCCCTTGTTTGGAAAGCTGATCCCATCTCCCCTTTCTCAGGTTTCCACAAACAACCTCAGCTGTCAGAGAGTCATGGAGCTCTCTGTCTCCTTCCAATCTGTCTCTCATCTGTCTCTCGTGGCCCTCGATCGCAAAGAAAGAAAGGTCGGCTTTCATCAGTTTGTTCTCTGTTTAAGCCTCAGTGGCTTTGAACACCTCTTTGGAGAATGTTTTAGTTTAGACATCTGCACAAATATGATTTGGTGCTGCAAACAAACTGGTTACATAAAAAATTTCACACCCATTTCTTATTAAAACCCGGCAGAATCATTTTATTTGAGGGAAGCAGTTACATAATCAAACTCACCAGATGACTTTCATTCCCCCGAGATAGGCTTTAAAATGATTGCTTTGTGTGTTTGCAGTAATAAAACTCCATCAAAAGGGAAGCATGGTGGGATTGCAGGTATAGATGATAGATTATACTGTGGCTCACGGGACATTGTTTGTGAATTTAAGTAATGATTGATAAAATATCTGGTGATTAAAATAATGAATATACGGGGATAATTTCTGTACACATGATCCCACATGACAATGGCGAGAAATACTTTCCAAAATTTCTTCTCACACACACCCACACCAATTTAGAGCTGCTCACAAACATGTGCAATCATCTCAGGGAGTGTTTAGTGACATGTGCAGGCATGAACAGTACATAGTACTCCAACATTTATGAAAAGGTCACACACAGTGTGATTGTTTGAGGATGAGGTGGTGAGGAGACAGGAAGCCCTGGGTGCTCGCACTCCCATTCCGCATGAACAGAGCACTGATCCAAGAGCAAAGAAAGGATGAGGCCTTTTTCTATAAATATGACCTCTGACCTGCCAGTCCAACTAATGGAAAAAGCCGCTGTTTCACAAGACAGAAAGAGTCGCAGGGGGTGAAAGTAAGAGAATAATCAAAGTAAACATACATTTTTCTACAGCGAAGGAGATCTCTGTTTTGTTTGATGATAGACATAGTTTGTATACATGAGGAGGAAATGAATCAGGCATCACTTCACGACTCTTTTTGAGTCTTTACCCTAAGAATAATAATAGTTTATTTATCCACTACTTTTAAGAAGTTACAAAGGACTTTACGTGGTTGAACCAGGAACATTTGAGGACTGCAATGACGCAATAAAATCAGAAGAATCAAAAGAATATAAAAATATATACAGAATAATTATAAGAACAAGGAGTAGAATACTGTGGATATAAAAGCAGTTAGCTTCAGATCTACATCTCTTTGATGACTTTTGTAGTTGTTCATTTCAATTAATAATGAAATTAATGTTAACAAAACTATTGCAAACCCAACAGCTGTCAAAAAAGTAAAAAAAAATGGGTGACGTCTACATTAAAAAAATAGAAATAGTTTACAGTTAAACTTGTAAATAGTAGTTTGTCAACATTATCTGAACTCAAGGTCCACTCAGGTCCACTTGGCCAATGAAGGCCATAAAGTGGGATAGCCAATAAGTGAGCCCTGGGTTAAGATTATTGTGTCATGGCAACTGATTTCACATCTCACCAACATTCATGGTGTAACCGTTCTGCGTTAGATGTGATTCATGTCCAGTCATATCCTGCTGACGTCTATGGAAAGGCCTGGACCTTTCACACATTGCAATGTATTGCAAAATACAGTATTACAGTGTAGTTGTTGGTTGTATAGAATATATTATATATACTGTATATATAGTGTTCTAGTAGCCTGTATAAAAGAGAATACCGCTTTGGAGTTTGAGAACTGTTGTTTGGTTGTGGAAAATGTGCGTATCTAAATGTCTTTATACAAATGTGTGTGCAGATGACTAAACTGATATAACTCGGCCAACACCTGTTTCCCCAGTATGACCCAACTCTTAGATGTGTGTTTGTGTGTGAGTGTTTTTGGGGTGTGCAGCTGACAGGGCATGTGTGCTGCAACATCTGTATCCTGTACCATCTTAAGTAATGGCGAAGTTTACGGCGAAGGTGAGGTTTCTCACCGTGCCCTGAAATGTCCTCCCCACCACAACAGGTGTCCGTGTCTGTGACAGTGTGTACTTGTAGGTGTATGTGTGTATTTGCACAAGTGCTACTGTGGGACTCTTTTAATCTATTTTCATGATTTACTGCCACAGGAATAGAGCCAATGGTGAAACAAGGGTGACCATATATGGGAATATGGCATGGTGTTGTGTTTGATCACTGATGAGATCTACAGATTTCTTACAACATCCATTTAGTATAGTAACATTTTATTTAATTCTGTTGTTCACTGTTGCTATTATAGTGCTTTTGAGTTGAGTGCTTGCTTTCTTTAATCTAGCAACTCATAGCCTGTGTAGTGACATAGCATTGCTGTCATGGGTGTTAACCCAGCTACCCTGTTGTGTCACTGTGTCATGACTGCAAATAAACTGTGTCAGCTTGTAGTATGTCACTCCAAGACACTAATATACTCAGCAGTGTACTAATAGTCATATCTTTAACTTAAAATTGTGGAAAGTAAAAGTTGAAATACCAAGATGTTAAAAAAACTGTTACAAGTAAAGGTCCTGCATTCAAAACTTTACATAAGCATCGCTTTTATTGTTGTTTCATGTTTAATCTTCATTACTTTATATATATATATGTCTAAGTAGCTTGGGAATTTCCCCTTGGGAAAATCCATAAAGTCTTACCAAAATAACATTGTAATTGTAATGTAATAATCTGAATCTGCAATGTAACTAGTGACTAAAGTCAATCAAATAAATGTAGTAAAGAGTGCAATATTTGCCTCTAAATTGTAGTGGAGCAAAATTATAAAACAGAAAATGGAAATACTCAATTAAAATACAAGAACCTCTAAAGTATACTAAGTACAGTACCTAAGTTAATGTATTTAGTTAGTTTCCATCAATGAATATACTTTCTTTTACAGACCCATTAATGGTGACTACATCGTCTCTTCAGAAATCAAGATAAGTCAAACATGTATTCTGTTAATGACAAGGAATAACAAACAGTGTCACTATGGAGAGTTGCTGAGAGAAAATAAAAATGCCATTTTGCGAGGAGAGCAGTGAGATATAGTGACATTGTGAATGAGTATCTGCTGTTAATCCACCTGCTTGGTTGGAGAAGAGTTAAAGAAAACAAAGCTTATACTTGAGTCACTCATTTCTTTGTCTGTTTTTGTTTCACATCTTTTTTTGGCTTCAGGATATTGAGCACAATATTGAAGACCTATATTGCAGGTTGGGCGAGGAAAAATGGCGTTATTACTGTAATAAAGATCAATGTTACTTCAGTACTTGAGTCAATATTTTGCAGCTTAGCGAGATGAGATGTGAGATGAGACTCACAGAGAAGTTGTGGAACCGGTTCGGAGTGTTTATGTGGGAGGTTTTTCTAAAATATATATAGCTAATAGTGCAATAGGAGTGCTACAAATCAATTCTGACAGCAGAGCAGGGCACTCCCTGGAATGAAAAAGACAAACAACCAGAGGGGAGGAGGGAGAAGAGAGAAAGCCTGTGTCTCTGTGTGCATGTGAGCGAGAGAGACAGGCTTCCTGGAAGTAAGTGACCTCACCCGATGGTAACCATAGATGGGATCTACACATACACGCACAAATTCCTCCTCATTCTTTCTCAGTAATCAGAGCGTTTCTCACTCCATAATCAACACTTAATGATAGCTTTAAAGTGATTTTTGTGCGACATGTATTGGGTGACTGATCCAATAATTCAGTGGCTTCTCCAGTATCTCCCTATCTGCTATCTGTGTGTATTTATGAAGCCATTACTTATAATCACAGATCACCTATAATCGCTGACCGCTCGGTGTACGTCGCTGCAATTTCTTCCGCCATGGCATTTTTCTTCTCTCTGCCAAATCCCAGGATGATTATCTGTCATTACAGCCCGATTTCCAAAGAATGCATCAGTGTAGATACAGCAGCAGAGAGGCGGAGCGATGAAGGAGAAGAGGCGAGAGGCCCAATTAGTCATTGAGGTCATGGAAACGTGCCTTCTTGTTGTTTATTGAACAAAAGGAGGGAGGAAGAGGGTGAATCGCTCTGTCTCTGCGTCTCACTTTCCAAGACGACTCTGCCAGGTGACAGCAGTGCTGCAGGCCGATCAGAAGTCTGGGCTTTAGGTGTCAGGTCAAAGGTCAAGATGTTAGGCGATCAATGAGTAGGCACATGTACATACTGTATCTAGAGCTTTTCTCTCTAAACGTGCACAGTCTGAACTCCCGACAGATGCCTCATTGACTCATTAAATGGTATCAATGCAGATGTGACTGAACAGGTGGTCCTGGCCCGCTAAACGAGGATTAAGAAGCAAGATTTGTGTGTGTGTGTGTGTGGGGTTGAGTGTGTGTCTCAGCGGTAATGCAACCTTGTCCTCAGCTCAAGCCATGGCAGGAAAACAGATCTGCTGAAAAGAATTGGAGGAAGTACACAATACACTCCCTACAGACACACACACACACACACACACACACACACACACAAAGACATGGTGTGAGAGGATTATAGATACACACAGTACATCTCCCTACATATACACAGGCTGAACACAAGCCATTTACAATGCTCTGTATGCCTGTGACAACTTGAATCATCTCGCTTGTCAGTCAGAAACTGAACGTACACACACACACGGACACATTTAATGTGAAAACTGCAGTTCCAGCCGTCCAAAGTAGGCCACTGCAGTGCACGTCACTCAAGGGCGTCACACAGCAGGAGAGCTTTCACTGAAAAGTGCTGTGCAATTACCAGCAAAGAAATAGCTTCCATAGCCGTCCACTTTTGTCTTCCTGTGCCGGACCTGCTCCCCAGACACACCGGAGGGTCATTATTGGCGCACGAATGGAGATGACGCCACCTGCAGCCACTGAAGGCTGATATACCCTGCCAGTTACCTCTGCAAGGGATGGTTGCATCACCCGGGCGAATGGGAACATTACTGGCTATATTTACCGTCGCTAATGGAGGAGATATTAGATGTTCTGTTCTGTGGAAAACTGGCCAATTTGTGATGGTTTATTGTGTTAAGAGTTGGAAATTTGAAGTACTGATGGTTATATTCATGCAGTGTAGAAGACTAGTTTAATTATTATAATGATTCTGTCGATTATTAGTGAAAGTTATTCAGATTTGGATATTATATTTAAAACATTTTTTCACTTTAAAAACATGTTTTCAAAAACTTAATTTTTTTCTTTTGTTATATGTTTTAGTCATGATACCGGTGTGGCTCTGTGGATATTGGTTTGTTGAATAACTATTAGATGGATTGCCATGAAATGTACTACACACATAGATTGTTATTACTTTGGTACTCATCTGACTTTTCATGTAGTGCCACCACCAAGTTAGCATTAAACTAATAACATTCCCATTAGCCTCGGCTTTACTTCATGTTCGTGCTAATTAGCAAATGCTAAACTAAGATGGTGAACATTGTAAACACTATACCTGCTAAACATCAGCATGCTAATATTGTCACTGTGAACATGTTGTTGATGCGTCGCGTGAGCATGTTAATGCAAGTGCTGTTTTTTCCAGTTTGGCTTCATACCCAAGCTTTTCCGACTGCCGAAGAGCGAAGTTAACAAAGAACAACAACAACACAAGAGAAAGCGAAGAAATAGTGTGAGGGAGGATAGCAACACCTGCGTTTCTGTGCCTTTGGAAAGTACCCCCTCCTACACACACACACAATCACACGCGCACACGCACACACACACACACACACTCACTCAAAGTGTTATGTTCTTTCACTCTCATCACCATAGATACCCAGTAGAAGTTCTCCAAAGGGTCCTCGCAACCCACAAAGTAGCCAAATCCTTGCCATTCTGCGTAACCGCCGGCAACAATACATACACTTGTTTGGCCGATTCGTTTTGTAGGTCTCCTTTGTGTATTAGGATGAAGAGAGAGAGGAGGGGTGAGGCGGGCTACGGGGGAGTCTGGGATGTTTTCTATTCTGGTTTTGGACACTTACTCGGGGCAGCATGGGCGAAGATGGAGGGGCACGTCTGAAGCTCAGCCAGAAAGAGGCCTGAAGCAACAGCCAATGTGCATGAGTCTCTCTGGTGTCTGTACCTGTGTTGGGTTTGTTTGGGTTGATAATCAGAGCCTCCCTGATCTGTGCTTTTATTTTTCTCCTTTCTTTTTTTCTCTCTTACTCCAGTCCCATGTCTTTCTCTCTTTGGCCTGACCTTTAATCCCCCTATCCTTCAATACCCAACTGGCCCATTGTCCCAGACGCCACACACTGAACACACACACACATGCACACACACACACGGCCTTGCAGCCTGCTCCATTGTCCTGCCACTGCTGGCCTAAGTCCTAATGCTGCATTGGACTCATGCCCATGTAAACAAGCTCCTGTCTGTCTGTCTTTCTGCCTGTCTTTCTGCCTCTTTTTTTGCATCTATTCATGTCACTGTGATCACTCTTTTCACTTTATTATGCCGGTCTCCATCTCTCCTCCTCTGTCTTTATGTCCAACTCTTCTCCCACTCCTCTCTCCGTTCATGCTTCTGTGTTCTCTAAGCTGGGCTGAGCAATTAGTTAATGTACCCTCCACCCCAGGGGTGATTCTGGCACTGCCGACCTACCGAGTGCTTCTCTGTGTCTGCAAGTGTGTGTGTGTGTGTGTGTGTGTGTGTGTGTGTGTGTGGTGTTGGCACTGCCCCTGAGTGGGGTTGCTGGGCTAACGGCGGCCCATCCAGAGTGTTTTTGGCACTGGCAGCGTTTTGGACGGCCCTCACCTCTTCTCTCTGCACGTCCACTGAACCACAGTAGCCAGCCCTCTGTCTGGGGCTCTAGTAAACAGCCTTTTAATTACCATGGGGAAAGACCCAAATGTCTAAGAGATCAATTCATTCCAGTGATACACATTTTTGGCCGGTGCTGATTGATTGTGCTGTGTTTTTTTTAAACTATGTTTGGCCCATTGTAAAACATTGTTGCCCAGTCTAAATGGCCCTCCGTGTGTGAGCAAATATTTAAAATCCATTTCAAAAACAAATGTAGGATCAGACCAGATTTATAACTGCAGCCATAAAGACCAGAGTACACAGCTAGAGATTTTCTCTTATTCAGGGATTAAAATGTACTTTCAACAGGAGTTACAAACAGACTATACTGGGTAAATAACAGCAGAGGGGGAAGAATTATTCAAAGCATGTACTTAACTAAAACTAGCAGTACCAAAGTTATACTATTATATTATTAGATCATTATTATTGATTTATTAATGTGTAAACGGTCCTTAAATTTTGTCATTGGTCAAAGTGGAGGTAATTTTAACTTCTTAATAAACTTTTGGTAGATTAATCTGTAACAACGGATCATATCTTATAAAGTGGTCTGACTATAGCTAGTAAATAAATGTAGTGGAGTGAATATTTCTCTCTGAAGTGTAGTGAAATTAAAGTATAAAGAAGCATAATTGTAATATTGTACTTAAGTAAATGTAAATAGTTACTTTCCACCACCAAGTGTTCTGTGTAAACTCTTTATTTTAATATACTTAAAGTGGCCTTGCCAAATGTCCGTACATATGCTAAATCTTGTTTCATAGCTCTTGATTTTCTCAATAGATTTTAGATGTGTATCATATTCTCGTTGTCTACACTGTAGTTATACCACTGCTACTCCATACATCTATTGCATGGCTCTTCATCCTAAAAGATGGCTCCCTCCTCTTTTGCCCCTCCAGAGGTTTCTCCCTTTGTTCCCCATTACAGTATTTCCTCATCTGCATCGAGGGTCTAAGTATAGAGGGCGTCATATGCACTGCATGGTGTAAAGCCTTCTGAGACAAACTTGTGATTTAGCAAAATACATGAAGCATAGAACTGAGGGCTTTCACAGCCGTTCTTTGACTTAAATATTTAATCTGAGGACATACAGTATTAGTACATGTCTTTCATTGTGTATGTCAGCGCTACACAAACACAATCGCTTCCTTCCTTTACTTGTACCCTTTTATTTCAGGGTATATAAATGAGTATGCATGTGTCCAGATCATTTCTCATTGTGAATTTGTAGTAGACTGCTTTGTAGACCATGTGTTTGGTTGCTTTATTGCTTTTGTGTTTCCTAATGCATTGCCTATCACACCTTTACAAAAGAAAAAGCTATTCAAAAATTCCAGTTTCATCTCAGCCCCGCTTTGGTGCCTTTCAAGCCGTGTTGGCCATGTGAGGGTGTAAAAGGGCAGGCAGGCACCTCCCTGGACACCTCTGTAGTTTTCTAAAGGCCTTGAAGGACGCCCAGCATGTATATCCACTCAGTACAAACAACAAAGGGAACGGCTGCGTCACAAAGGGACACCAGCATGGACGAGACGGACCTCAGCGTACCGCAGGGGGCGAGTGGAAATGCGTGAGTCTCTGTTTGTGTGCACATGATTGATTGTCAGCTGAATCCCATTAACAGGCACCGGACCAATAAGGGCATCTTGGAGGTATTGGATCCAACCAATTCAATATATCTCCAGCTTAGTGTAATAACTGGACAAGTAAGGCTTGTGATGCAAAGTACTACCATTGGCCCTCTTATTTTCTTTGTGGATGCTGCTTTGAACGTCTTTTTTTTTTTTTTTTTTTTTTGACTGCATTAGGTCAAGGCTGTGCACAATACATGTAGACAGTTAATGGCCAATGGCTAGGTCAAGTAGGGGGATACAGCGCTTCTGTGTGTGTGTGTGTGTGTGTGTGTGTGTGTGTGTGTGTGTGTGTGTGTGTGTGTGTGTGTGTGTGTGTGTGTGTGTGTGTGCATAACAATTAGCGTGTGCACATTTGTCTGAAATGTAATGCAACCGGGCATACCCAGAAGGACAAAAGACGAGACAGCAGCTCAACCTATTCACCTCCCCACCCCCATCCTCACACACACACACACACACACACACACACACACACTTACAGCAAAATGTTTACTTGCCAATGCTTCCCTAATTCGTCCATTTCATAGAAGAGAGCAATCTGGATGTTCATGCCCTGAAAACAGCGATGTGTATTCCAAGCCCTTGCTGTGTAATTACATTTGTGCAGACAGACAGTGGGACGATTCTGATAGGACGAGGTTATATTTATATATTTCTGTTGTTATTCTCCTACCCCATAGAGAGATGACCCACTTCCACTGCTCTGTCTGTACGTCTGTCTAAGCACACTTGGATGAAACATAGATATTTCACAGTGTGTTTGTATTTGTGTATCGAGGTGCACAAGATTGTCGAGACACGCAAATCCAGACACCGTCAGTCTTCTTCTGGTTAGTGAGATTCTCTTCTCACCTTTGCAAACCATTCTGCACTTTTGTAGCTTTTCTGTACACGTACGTGCATGTGTGCTGCTGAGTGGGTGCTTTACTGCAAATTTGAAGATTTGCAAAAACATTGGTGAACCTCAGCATCCGTCAATATTAATCATGAAAAAGACTCTAGAGAGAAAACTAATATCAAGTTATCATCTCTTTTTTGTTTTGAAAAATAACATTGAAACCACATGCACTACTAACTAATATCTATAGTTACTGACACTCGCATGAGAATACTTGCCCTGAAAATGTGCTATTGTCCTGTTTTTTTGTTGTTTTTTTACCAATTTTCATCTCATCTTACATTGATTAATTGTACCTTATTCTATCAAAGGTTCACACACTCACCTATAACAAAACAGTCCTTTTCATTAACATCATGTACCTGGTATTTATGTACAGGTGTGTGTGTTTCAGTATGTATGCATGGGCATTTCTGTGTGTATATGTATGACTGTGTGTGTCAAGGTACTTATGTGTGATGCATTTTCTAGGTGGTGTTAGGTATGAAAAATCTAAATATACTTACTGCAGCCGTCCGATAGAGCAGAGCAGAAACTGTATTTGACTCTCTAATGTACTGGAGCAAAAGTCTCATAAAATAGAAATACTAGTAAAATATGAGTACTTCAAATTTTTATTTTAGCCCAGTAGCTGAGTTTCTGTCCACCTCTGAGTGCATTGACCTCCTGCATAAAAATAACTAAATGTCAAATTTGTGGCTTTAAAATAACATAAAATATTTACCGTCTCCATGAGCCCACATTGTAACAAAAACACTAAGGTAGATCACCATATTGTGCATGTTTATGAATGTACAGCTAGAATGAGAGTATGACCCTTGTTACCTTTCATCCTGCATACATGCCTGTCTTTGTGTGTGTGTGTGTGTGTGTGTGTGTTATCTTCCCCTCCGTCCGTGCCGATGTAGCATCTGCTGTGGTCCAGGAGGTGACCAAGAGGTAGCAGCAACCTGAGCCAGGCTGGCTGATGGCCGTTTCTGTGTCCATATGCCCGCTCCGAGGACACACACTCTCCTGGCAGGACACACTCCCACACACTGGATGCTTCGTTACCTCACAAACACACACACAAACACAAGCGCAAACTGCAGTTGAACACTCACAAACAAACACTCAAGCTTCACCACGTGCGTGGTGCCACATCATCCATGCAGGAGTGTGAAGGAAACGAAAGGGTAGCAGAGGTAACGGTGTGTGCGCTGCCAAATCACCACATAATGGACTGTTCTGGGACCATCCAACCTGCCGGCCATATGGGCTCAACACATCAGTGGAGCGATGGGCCCAACACACACAAACATAACTAACTACCTACAAGCACATGTGTACAGAGAAGAAGAATTTATGTTCGGAAAAGTACACCCTCATATAACACCTTGAACCCTTACAGTAATGCTTTGGTAATTGTCATTTTTTATTAGCTTTAATGCAGTTTTAAATTATGAGGTTTGTGAAAGTCTTCATTTTTCCTGATGTCAACAAATCCCATTAAAATCAACTAACTACAATGAATCAATCCTTCTAACAAGTAGTGTCTGTGTTTCCAAAGCATGAAATATCTTATTCCACTGTGCCATGGAGCTCATATCTTGTGCAAAAACTATTAAAAATACATCAGTGAGTCACACTGTTGCACTTGGTGTTCATTACCACGAACATGGGCACTGTAGTTTATTTTGTAAATTCTGTGTACTTCATCCTGGTGATATGATAAAGGACTAAAACGCCATTGCTTTTTTCTGTTTATAGTATTTGTTGACAAAAATGTTGAGTACTGATAGCCTTATCTGTTACGTATTCACATTAGTTTCATGTTTCACGCTCTACTTATGGTTTTAAAAAGAAAAACAAAGATAAAGCAGCGGTCACACCTCAAAGGGACTTCTGCTCATTTTAAATAGGTGTGCCCAAAAGCTTGGTGATGTAATGACTACTCACAGGGCTAGTTGGTGAACTGCTATAGCTGCCAAGCTAGCTGTTAAAGGGATAGAACATATTGTTATGGAGTGGGGCTATATGAGGTATTTATCCATAGTCAGTGTATGACCTAGAGTAGATGATGGTTGGTACGCACCCAGTTTAGAGAAGCAGACAGGAGCCCCGGTACAGACACTAAGCAACTGCTGTGATTGGTTGAGAGCAACAAAACATATAGTCAGCACTGTCAAGATGGCTTGCTTTTGGTCAACCATAGTTCATGAGATTTCAACTGTGTGGAACGTAATTTTGCAGCAAATTTCTGTTGTTTTAAATATTGGTGTGACTGCACCTTAAAGAAGCTTTTATAAAGGAGTATAAACTGAAGAGTAACAATCAGGTTTATTTATATTTGAATAAAACAGTACTGTGAACAAGATTTTGCTTTTTTATATAAACTCTAGGCTCATATATTGTCAACAGCATGTAAAGGGGACTTTCTAACTGCAACAAAGTGTTTAAGCAGTCATCTTCCTGAACTTTCCAATATAACTTGGGCTTACAATGCATAATCAAGTATTGCAGTTCTTTACAAAAGAGGAACAATTCTTCCTTGAGTGCTGTTTTCTAGATGCACATTACAGCGGAAACAGGTGTTCCAACCATTGTCCTTTCATCGCTGACAGCCTTTGTTCTGCGGGTGGTATCATCTGTGGAGGGAGAGTTGCATCTCCTGGTAATGTATTTCATCAGCTACAGCTGTATCGGACGCTCTCCATTGGTGTGGAAATGAGGGTCGTCAAGTCGCCAAGTAGCTCCTTCATCCATATTAGAGAGACAGAGAGGAGGGGGGCTGCCCATTTATTCTGGCTCAGGTGTGAAAAGCAAGTGTGTATGTGTGTGTGTGTGTGTGTGTGTGTGTGTGTGTGTGTGTGTGTGTGTGTGTGTGTGTGTTGTTGGTGTGTGTGACAAAGAGCACAAAGTTTTCCCCCCGAAGTCCCGCTATGAGGATGGATGGCCCCATTATGGAAGGTTTTAACCCCTGACTGAGCGAGTGAACCATCACAGTCCAAAATTGCCATAGAGATATAAGACAATACTTGTCATTGGTGCAGCGATTGCATGATAGTGAGATCAGATCATATGTTTAAACAAAGCTTCCCCTATAATATTAAAAAAACTAACAAATATGTATATCTGTAAACTTTTAATATGAGAGATATAGTGTGTTTTATATGAGGAGGATCTCTTAATCCTAAAACCTGATTGGTTTACATAAGTTGTTTTGAAACTGATAATGTTACCAACAGCTTCTCCTTTGTCTTCAGATCCCTCATCTTGTAGAAAGATTGGCCCAAACTGCTTAGTGTTTACTTTGAAGAACACAATATTCAGGCTTATTTTCAGCATTCTGAACTTGTGTCTTTCAGCACAAATAAAATGATACAGGACTGAAAGCTTATGGCAGAGAGTTGTTTAGCAGTAATGTTTGCGCATGTCAAATGTGATATTCTGCTTGTGCATTATTTGTATGCTGATGTCTTTGACGTTCAACCCTATTTTCAGCCCATTTTCATATTGCTTGAATTCCTCTGACTGTTGGAAAGTGCTGAGTTTCACAAATACAACAAGAGATGGAATTTGAATGTCCTCTATACATAATCATAGAGCAGATTGAAGTGTGTATACTCCTCGCTGTTTGGCTCTAGTTTGTTCTTTTCACGGGCTGACAATGCCCCGGTAAGCAAGCAAAACAAAAATCCTTCTAGCGAAGCAAAAAATAAATTCTGTGGAAGGAAGTAGAAAGGCGGATGATGGGATATCATAAATACACAGTGATTCGGTGTTGCCTTTCAATAATGGATGCTGCTGAGAGTGGCAACTTTGATTTGGGGCTTTCTTGTTGATACAGGTAGCATGTTCTGCATATTCATCCGTTTTGGGGGATGGGATTCTCTCTGTGTATGTGTGTTCATGAGCAGCTGTGCGCACTTGTGACCTTGTCTATCTGCTGGCATGTCTGTGTCCACACCATATAGCCTTCACCACCTATAGAGACATAAATCTTTCATGAGCACATCGCCTCTGCATATATAACACATCCCACCACAAGCCACACACGAACTGTAACATTTTATCTTAATGGCACATATGATTGACGATTAGTTCATCCTTTAATTATTCTGTCCCTCTATAATTACTCTATCTCAGTGGTTACAGTTATCCCTCTCATAAATCTCCAAGCATGTTGTGCCTAATGCTATAAGGCAGTGGAGTACAGGGAATACACTACAGTTGGAACATAAAATGAAAAAAGGGAGAAAAACAAGCTTTAGTGTAGTAATTTACTGGAACTGCAGTCAAACATGTCCTGTGGGGTTAAACTGTAGGTATCAAATCCAAATCCAAGCTAAACCAAATAAAAAAACACTACAAACACACAAAATGTAGAAAAATACAGCTACTAAATGGACCTTGTGGTTGGATTTTTTTCTTTACTGCTTTTTTCTAAGGTCAAGAATACACCATGAACCCAGATTTTAAGCCTGCTTTTGCTTTTTAACACCTGATGGAGAGGAGATTCACACACCTTCATGCAGGTAAGAATAGTCTAGTCCCTTTAGTTGATTAGCTTAATACATTTCTCTAGATGACACAATATCCAATTACAAAAACAGCCATTGCCCATAGGGGGGAAGCAGGGCTTTGTTGCTCACATCAACAAAAGCTGAGTGCCTTGGGCTAAAAGACGGTTTTCAAGGTATAGTGGCTGGGTGAGACAAAAGGAAAGAGGTGTGTCTCCTACCCTCTCAGGTGGGCTTTTTCATGTGCTAACATTGCAGCATTAAAGCCCCCACAGGGGGTTCAGGTATCAGAGGCATTTTCAGCTGAAAAACATGTGACACCCATTAGGGATTGCATTGTTTATAACAGTGTAAACAAAAACACTGACATACTATCACCTTAAAAATAGTCTCAGCCATGTCCTAAGGGAAATATCTGGCTCTTCAGCTGCTAAGTGCTCCACTGTGTTTACCAGCTATAGTTGCTGAATTTGTCTGCCTGCCATTTGGTGTTAGGGAGGAAACATACAGTGGTTTCATCAGAGCTCTTTAACAGAAAACTGATCCCTGCTGCATCAAGTATATGTGGGGGTTGAGAGCTGCGAGACTGAACCAAAACAGTATAAAATTGAGGGTCATAAAAACCAAAACAATAGGCTGACAAGCCGATAAAGCTAGAGCTGAGTGGAACCGCAGCGCTGGGTGATAATTGTATGTGGGTGAGTTCTAACAGCCCTTTTCACATTATACATAGTCACTGCATCCACTGTTAATGTAAATATATTAATTAGAGCAGCTTTAAGGTTTTTTTTGGAAGACTTTAAACTATACAATACATTCAGTGAGCTGCTGCAAGCCTGTGTCTTTCCTTTTGTCTCCCTGCATAATGCTTAGCTGTTATTTACAGTTTGAAGCAACTGCTCCTGTGTTCAGCATTATGTAATGGCAGACTCCAGTGATAGACTTATGTAAACAGCTCTCCTGCCATTCTTTGGGTGACTCATTCCTGCTCAAACCTGCGCTTTGTGGGTGGCTGTGTGTTATTTAGTGTGTTCTTATGTCTTGATTGCACCAATGGCCCCAGATGATGCTCAAACAGACGTACAACCACTGCACCCTCGTCTGTACCCATGTAACCATAACATGACAAATACACATGTGCACAAAGACAGAAACCCTTGACCTCTGGTGTAATTGTTTTTTTAGAGGAGATGGTGGAGAGATAAATTCAAGAGCAACCCAAGGTCGCTTTAAATTCCCATTTGATAGTCATCATCCACATAACAAAAGAAAAACACTTTAAAGATCACCCATTCTGTATTTTTCCTTCACCCCTTTGTTCCCCCGCCTCTCGCGTGGTCTTTGTCCCTCAGCCTGTGCCTATGTAATTCTGTCCTCAAGTTGAGGTGACCATGTTCTCATTTATGAGAGAGACGTGACTATTAAAGGAATTGTATGGTGGGTGTACAGCTTGTTGCAACAACTCTGTGGACACATAATTTATATCACCTACAGTTTCTCTTCAATTTGAATTGAACTAAACCACTTTATTTGTGTTTTAACATTGAAAGTGAGTGCAGACAAAATGCCTAGTTAGTTAAGTTATTATTACATATAGAAAAAATGGCCAAAACTGAAGTCCTTAAAATATGACAACATCTGTTTTGGGGGCCTCTATATGTTATGGGCTAGGCATGGACTTATGGCTTATTTGACTCCTCTAGACACATTTTGACATTTGAGAAATCCCTTTTATTAAAATTCACACCTGTACAACATTCATATGCATCAGCATCCATCTTATGGCCTGATTTCCATCATGTCAGCAGCCATTTTGTTGATGCTGCTGTTGTTTGTATGGCCAGACGAGCCACAGATGTCACTGTTGTGCAATTGTGTTAATTGCTTTAATTACTTCCTGCTACACAAGTGTACACATTTATATACTGTAAACACACAGCCTCTGTTTACTTCCGGTTCATCCATATTACTGAGACCTAATGGATTTTCTCACCATCTTTAATCTTTCTCCGTCTCTGCATGAACACACAGACACCATTACCTAAAGTGTGTATCTGACAGCCCTGCGATTACAGCACATTGCATCAGACTGCTGTTTATGCAGCGCTTTACCATTCATAGACATCTCCACTCCCTCTGCCACATATTCACCAACACTCACAGCCTGTCCGATGGTATCAGCAATTAAGAGGCCACATTCCCTTCAGACTGATCGAAGAATAACATG